ACTGTTTTGTACTATGTTGTGGGTCAAAAGCTGAGTTTGGGAACCAGTGCACTTTGGTTCCCAAAGTTGGGCTTGGGACCCAATTATGTGTCATGAAGTACCTTGGATAATCTCCAGAAATCAATTTAAAGGGTAATAAAATAATTGCTGATGTAATATTTTCCCTATAATTATTACAAAAACGCAAAATAAGTATAGATAAGTATTTACATTTGTGTACCAGCTGTTTAGATTGTCAAAAAGCCTGTGTTTTTAGGGTTATTATCGAAGTTTGTGTACTCAGACCAGTAATATTTGGGGTCACAAGTTTTTGCCATGGATATTTTGTGGGTCAGAAGATAAGTTTGGGAACCACTGCGCTGGGGTATTACTACTGCAGGTTAGATACTGATAGCTCCACAGAACACCTCTTCAGAAATGTGACCCATCCCTTTATTAAACCTTGTCTTATTTTTTACTTAACTCTAAATCTAAAAGCACATACAAACATGGCAACCTGAAAATGCATTAAAGACATTTAACTTCAAGTGTTCATTTTGCACTTTGCAAACAGTATTAGATGCACCAAGAGCTGTTTAAAAAAAAAAATTATGTTCTTGTCAACAATCACTGGTACACTGCAATCACTGCAGCATTATGTTTACCTTCACAAACAAAAGCAGCACCCCTTCATTTCCTTTCAACAAGCTCCCAGCTGAGGCGAGTAATGTAGGGGAAACACTGAAAACATTTCAAACACTCATGGTTAAAAATGTTAATTTTTTTTCAAAGTAAAAAAACTTCTACATGGATGACATGTTTGCTGTGGTCAGAGTTGTAAAGTCATAAAGTACAAATACTTGTTAGTGTACTTAAGTAGAATTTTTCATTATCTACACTGTATTTGAGTAACTATTTTTTTCATCTGAACTTTTATTTCTACTCCTTACATTTTCACAAAGTTATCTGTACTTTTTACTCCTTAAGTTAAAAAATTCAAGAAGTAAAGTCATTTTTCATATCCATTTTCTGCCTTTTTTTTCTTTCTGGCTTGTTATTGTTAAAAAAAAAACTATAAATGAATAAAATCAAACCAACTGCAGTTCAATGAAAAGTACAGCGGGTAAAATAAGTATTGAACACGTCACCATTTTTCTCAGTAAATATATTACTAGAGGTGTTAATGACATGAAATTTTCACCAGATGTTGGTAACAACCCAAGTGATCCATACATACAAAGAAATCAAACCATAAA